CCCGACACAATATCGAAAGGTGGTAGGATGTCTTAGATATCTTTTGCAAACAAGACCTGATATGGCATATGCGGTAGGAGTTGTTAGCCGATACATGCAAAGTCCAAGAGAATCACATGGAGTTGCAATCAAACACATTCTAAGGTACTTACGAGGAACAACGGGATACAGAATCAAGTACGAGAGGATGGGACAAAGGCGACTTATTGGTTATAGTGATAGTAGTCACAATGTTGACCCGGATGACGGAGGAAGTACAACCGGTCACATTTTCTACTACGGGTCATCTCCAATTACATGGTGTTCGCAAAAGCAAGATACCGTTGCTTTATCATCTTGCTAGGCGGAGTTCATGGCAGCCACAGCGAGTGCATGTCAAGCAATATGGCTTCAAGATTTGCTTGGAGAAATCATGAACAAAGCGCAAGAGAAAGTGATTCTTAGAGTTGATAACAAGTCGGCTATCGAACTAACGAAGAATCCCGTTTTTCATGGAAGAAGTAAACACATTCACACGAGGTTTCACTTCATTCGTAATTGTGTCGAAAGGGAACAAGTGGAGGTGGAGTACATTCCCGGTGAAGAACAAAAGGCGGATATTTTTACAAAGCCGCTAGCTCGAACCAAGTTCAAGGAAATGCGGAGCTTGATTGGGATTGAAGACATCTCTAGAAGGACTTAGAGATTCGGGGGTGATTGTTGGAATTCTAAGTCGAGTAGGACTTGGAGACCAATCAATCTTGGGGCTTAAGCAAGTCGGTTTAGGTCTCCTAATCTTATTCTACAAGTTGGTAGTCTAGGAATGCATATATATATATATATACCGAGTCATGGTATGTACAGAAAAACAATATAGGTTTTGAGTGATTTTCCTATTAATCAAAGAGATAGTTTGATTACTTGTGTTTTCCTTTATCTTGACGTTATTCACTTATGAATAAAAATATATAATTAATTTTTTTTACAGTTTAAGTATCATTTATACGATTTATTCATATATGAATAACAAATTAACTATAACAAAAATCTGATAAATGTTTTATTCATATATGAATATAAAATTGACGACAACTAATACACGTTTTATACATATATAAATAGAATATATATATATATATATATATATATATATATATATATATATATATATATATATATATATGACGAAAGATGATATACAAAATATATTTTAAGTAAGAAATCTTTATTACTTGTCATATTCATATATGAACGATACTTAAACTATAAATAAAAATTAAGCATACGTTTTATTCATAAGTGAATAACGAATGTACTGTAATAAAAATGTGATAGATTTTTATTCACTTATGAATAACGAGAGCTGAAACTTTAAAAAAAATAAATTTTTTATTTTATCTTAAAACTATATCAATATGGATGTCTATTTATAGAGAATAAAAAATTATGAATTTTGATATATTTAAAATAATTTTTCGATAAAAATGGCTTTCTAAAAATCAAAAAAACAAAAACAAAAAGTATGTTTTTGTGTATATTAAGGTAATGATTAGCATAGTTTAAGGAAACATGTTTGGTTAGAAAACATATGTTTATCCGTTATCCATTTCCGCCAGTACGCCTAAGTGTTTTACGGCAAAATAAATGTGTGGCTGAGAATGATTCCCTCATTCTCAACCTTTTTTTTCTCAATTGAACTCTCCTCTCTCTCTCTCTCTCTCTCTCTATATATATATATATATATATATATATATATATATATATATATATATATATATATACGGCTAGGTTATTTTGTTTCTTATATCTATTGTGTGCCCGTAAGCACAATTCTGGACCAATGGATGAATAAAATCAATGGTCATGATCTGAGGGTGTACGATATTACAATAGGGTAACATGTACCATATAATCACACAAATTTCACCAGAAGGGTGTTTTGGTCAATTAACCTACATTAAAAAAGGAAATTTCCGGATTTTAAGGGATAATTAATTTCCTTTTTTCTAATCTGAATTTTTTAAATTAATTCAAATTTAATTCTATCATAATTTCTAATACTAACCGATTTTATTCTGTCAGAATGACAGAGAGTCAAACATAAACTAGTAAATAAATTTTCGATTTTATTCTTGCAGAATATGGTTCATTCAATATATTTTTTATAATTAACATGCTTAAAGAAATTATAAAATATATTATCAAGAATAACATTTTCTAAAGAATACGCCTAACATTTTTAAAGAATTACTAATTACATTAATTTGTAAAGAATAAGAGTAAACAATTATTACATTCATTCTGAAAAAAAAAATGATTAATAATGGTTTAAGAATTACATTTATTCTTAAAGATTAAAACTAAGAATCGTTAAAAAAACATCAAAATCTAACAAAAGCACTAATTTATTCTGAAAGAATATTATTGTTAATAAACACTTTATACATTCTGGCAAAATACATTCTGCTAGAATACTCTCGTTCTCCATTTTTCTTCTTTTTCCACATCAATGACAGCTTCTTCAAAATCTATATCCACAAAGAAAACATAATCAACTTTAAAATATTAAAACTTTTAGTATATATATTCTAAATGAATAAAATTATAAATTCTAATGGTATGTGTTAGACATTAAAGACTTTTAATTTATTCTAACAGAATGTAATACTCGAGTCACTTGATCAAGTATTCCCCGAGTCACTTGATCCAAATAATCGACTTAATCTAATTACAATGATTCTAGAACCTACATTGTAGCTAACACATAAGACAATACGTTGGAAAAGGTTCATATTATTACAAACAAGAATGTGAGAAATATGACAGTTCAAAGATCTCAAAATTTTTATGAACAAAGTAAAAGTGCTAAAAATATAGCTGTAACATCCAATGTTCGAAGGGTTGTAACTCAGCCAATATTAATCCAATTAAAAGGACTTCAGAACCTAACTTGTAGCTAACACAAAGGAGAACATGCAGAAAAAAAAATTTCAAATCATTCCAAGCTAGTATGAGAGAGATATGATAGTTCAAAGATTACAAAAAATTGGCTGAAATATTTGATTCAAGCATTTTAGCAAACAACTGGCGGGCAAAATCGGATGCTCAGATCTGTATATTCCATTTGATGAAACATACAACATATGTAATTAATATATACATGAATGTGACTAAATTTACAATAAAAGAGTGTATACCTTCAAATACTAACGAGTAATTTGAGATTTCATGCCATAAAATCGAGATTCCATTCTTAAAGAATTAGAGCTTGATCTTCCATTCCGGTAGAATTGCTGTCAGATACATCCATAATCAAAAATTAGTGGGAATACACTAATCATAAGTTGAGAAACTAAAGCTACAACATAAGTAAAAAATCACTAACAAAATACACTAACCAACTTCAAAATTATATAATGACGTTATGAAAACTAGATGCCATAACACAAATGAATTTTAAATAGGTTCATAAATAACAAAATCATTATATTATTTTTGAAAATTGAACAAAATACGGATGGTGTTAAAAAAATTTAACAAATGTTCCATCAAAAACTCATAAAATAAAAGCATAACTGAACAAAATGCAGATGGAGCTAAAAAAAATTAACAAGACTTCCATCAACAAAGAAAGTGACGACAGTGATAGTATCTAGATGTCTAGGTCTAAATAAACTAATGTAAGAAAAAAAAAACGACGATTCATTACCTGGTTGACAAACTTGACCACAAAATATTTAATGAGATTTGCCAGTTTGTAATCGTTATCACTAGAACGTCGATTCAGTGCAGATCGATTGGTAAATATTAGGGAGGAAGGTGTTTGGGGCGGATGATGGTGGCGGCGGCTTTGTATGAGTTGCTAGGGCTTGTAATCGGTGGTGATTGATCAACTAAAGAAAAAAAAACGAGTTTAATAAAAAAAAGAAAAACTTCCTGATTGATTGGAAAAGGATACTTCGATTTTGAATCTTGATGATCGATTGTAGAAGAAGAAGCGATGGATAGGTGACTTCGATTTAGGGCTATTTATAGTTATCATCGAGATGTTGAATGTTCTAAATTTATCTGTGCTTCTTGCGCCTTATCCGAAATACAGCTAATATCCTATTATATCTCTATTATACCATAATTAGCCATTAAATAAGATTACTATAATACCCTTATAATATTTATTAAATGATTTAATTTATCTAAATTCTGATTGGTGCATACATGCACACAATAGTTGCTAGAAACATTTGAACCTCTCTCTCTCTCTCTCTATATATATATATATATATATATATATATATATATATATATATATATATATATATATATATATATATATATATATATATATATATATATAACGTAGGATAATTGTTTGATTGGATCGTCAGTCATTTTATTGGATTCATGTAGAAACAAAGAATGTAATTTTAGTTGGACTTAACCTCTCTATTGTAAACTCGTTGCAGTCTTGTCTCTTCTCTAGCTTTGCTAGAGTTTTGGGTTTTGGTATAGATTTTGTTGCTGTTCAAAAAAAAAAAAAAAAAAAACGTACTTATTATTACACTTCATTGAGAAATCGATTTTTTTTCTTTTTATTTTTGGACGAGGGAGCAATGTAAATTATGCATGTACGTAGAAATATTCCACATGAAAAGACAGTAGGAATATCCAAGTAATTTACTCCAACCACGTGGCCATCTCCTTTCCAGTATACGTCCATATATTTGAATGCTTTAATTACTAGTAGTTGGTTGCTTCTCATCAAATGTGTATTCAATTTCAAAACTTCTTTTCCATCCACTTTTCTTAACTCTCTCTCTCTCTCTCTCTCTCTCTCTCTCTCTCTCTCTCTCTCTCTCTCTCTCTCTCTCTCTCTCTCTCTCCTCTCTCTCTCTCTCTCTCTCTCTCCTTGGGTGGTGCTTAAGTTTTAGCTATTGGGTGTATGCAATTGGTTAATGGATATTGATCTCTTGTGGTCTTTTGGGGGGTGGTTTCTTATTATATTACCTGGAACAATCAACTGCATGGCTAAATTGAGATCCTCTTCACAAATCTCTCTATTCTCAAACCCTAGTTCTTGTTCTTCACTTTTGTGTGTTGCACTTTTGATCTTCATTTTCTTTATCATTTTCCTTCAATCCCCTACTTCCATGGCAGCTGCATCATTTCCAACTGAAGCACCCACTTCTTCCTATGATGAATCCTCAAGAACATCAACAACCACCATGGATTTTCGTCCGAAAAGAAGCCATCGTCAATCACATTCAAAGCCAACAAGGTCATTCGAAGCTGGTGCTCATGAAGTTCCTAGTGGGCCAAACCCAATTTCAAACAGGTAAGAATCAGATCGAAGGTTTGTTGAACCGTTGATCAAATGGATTGGTATACCCAATAAAAAAAATCAAGAAATGGTGGTGGCGGCAGTGGTGCTGGTAAAGATACAATCAAAAAGCTAGGTTTTCGTATGGTTTTATGAATGGTATATGATCAATTGTAGCTCTTTCTTTTGGTTTCACTTTCATGTTATTTTACCCTCATCGTCATCGTCATCTTCAAAATTCATCTTCAATCTTTATCAACTACCGAGACTATATGTTTTATTTGAGAAAAAATGTATAGCAAGAGATACTTTTTATATTTTCTATATATCTATGTATATGTACTCCTTTTCCCGATATATCTACATATCAAGAAGATGATGAAGACGATGATTCTAGCTAGTTCTTAGTTATTTTCTTCTTTCTAGTTAAGTTTTTTCTTTTGGAGAGGTGGGGCCAATTATATACTTATATTTTTTAATTTAAGCGATTGGTTTGTGTTTAATTGATGTTTCCTACCCTTTCTTTGTTTAATATATTTTACATTTCAATGATTTTAAAGATCGGTGATCAAGTACATATATATATATATATATATATATATATATATATATATATATATATATATATATACCGACACAAATTTCATATGTTCATTCTTTTACACGTATATTTACATCGAACAAGCATGTGAAGCGGGAGGCAGGTATAAAGGTTTTGTTGAGATGAGAGATTATTAGAACATGATCAAATCCTGAAAACTACTCTATTTTTCAAGAAAGAGGTGTGTGTGGTCATTGTGGGTGGAGATGGGTGCCGGGGGGGGGGGGGGGGGGGATTTAGGGTTTCTCATGAGGTGAGCGATGATTAGAAAAGGATCTTAGGTACTTGAAGGAAAAGGACAATGTAGTCATTTACACGCTATTTGTTGAATAGAGAGAAAGGGATAAATAACTATAAAAGGGTCGTTTTCAAATTTTGACCAACAACTTTTGGTTTTTGCAAGAACACAAAATCCGATAAAGCTCTTTCACAATCAGAAACGATATCATGGCTTCATGATTTGGTAATTACAATAGTTACCTTTGATATTTATTTGAATTATTGCTTTATTTTAAGTTCATTGTTAATTTCAAAACTAAATGATTAATTGTTTAAATCAAAATGTTAGTTTTCTTTTTTCCTTTTTCTTAAATGAATAATCCTCTTTTATAAAAAACAATTATATTTTGTAGTACTTAATCAATGATTTTAAATAAAAAGATAATCACAACTACATGGTTATGACAATTACAGAGAAATAACACAAATTTTATCAATTTAACAAAAGGAACACCAAGTTTCGAAATAAGATATTTGAAATTTAAAAAACGTGGAATATTTTCTCGTTTGCACAAAATACCTCTAAAAATTTGTCATTTAAATATGGAATGTTATTATTATGATTTTCAACTAAATGTAGGGGTGAACATGGATCGGGTTATGTCGGTTTTGACATAAAACCTAACCCAAAACCGAGTTATTGGTTTTTAGAAAATTAGAAATCAACCCAACCCAAAACCGATGGGTTCATTTTTCAATGGGTCGGTTTTGGGTTTAAACCCAAACTCATTTGAAAATTTTACTTATGATATATGATACGGTGGTGTTTCATATATAAGAGATGAATAGAAACTATGTTTCATTTTCTCGTCATATGGGCCTATTTTATAGTTATAAGAAACAAGTTGGATGGGGATATAGGATAAAAAAACGGATAAACAAAATCAAACACATATGTATCAAGCGAAAGATTCAAACTTAGGGCATCCAAGTTAAGTGTTTAGTAGGTTACCACTTCGGCAACTCGCTATTTGTGTCTTTTGTTCACAATATCATACCATATATATAACGTTCATATAGCTGCAAAATTAAAATACACGGGTCAGGACCAACCATTTCTTTTGTTCACAATATCAAGGGAATGATTCGAATTCGTTACCACCAGACCAAAACTCTAGTGCGTTACCCGCTAACCAACTGTTTCATTTGTTATCATTTCGCTAAATATATTTATATTATGTAATATATATATATATATATATATATATATATATATATATATATATATATATATATATATATATATATATATATATATATATATATATAATAAGTTCGGTTTGGTTTTTTTATTTTTTCAGTTTTATCAAACCCAAAAACCGAACCCAGACCGAAATTTTTGGTTTTTAAAAAATCTAAACTCAAACCGTCAGTTTATGCTTTGGTTTCGGTTTTTATCGTTTTTTTTTTTTTGGTTTTCGGGTTCGGTTTTGGTCATCCCTAATTAAATGTTATGATTTTATGTATTTGTACCAGTACTCTACCATGTTTTTTGAATATATATTTTTAAACTTTTTGTTAAATTTCAGTAACAATTAAGTTTTGAAATTTTGGAAACATTTTTGAAATTTAAGAATACCTCTTTGTTACATGGTGCGCAATGTTTAGTCCGGAATCTAAAACCCAAATCTAAATGTTTTTTTTTTTTTTTATCAAGATGTATTTTTGATATTACAAAGATCTAATCTATCCAAAACAAATTTAAATAGTACATGATGTCGTGTTTGGGACGTAATGGTAATTTTGCTTAAATGTGAAACTGCTAAGTTATATCATATCTCTAAATTAATGTCGAAAATTTTGTATCATATTGTGTAATTATTTATTTGTATATGTATATGAGAATGTGTGTTTGAAATGAAATATGAAAGTACGATATAAAAGATATAAAGATATAAAATATATAAAGGTGTTTGTGGTTGTGCTTGTACATTTAAAATTTTTTTATTAGTTTATTAAGATTTTATATAGTTAATAAACGTTAATAAGAAATTTTAAGTGTTTGGCCGTGAAAAAGAAAAATATATTTTTAACTTAAATAAATAGTTTTTGATAAGTTGTTTCCTTTAAAGTTAATTGAAAGAACATGAAAATTAATTTACTCCTTTACTCATTTTATATATATATATATATATATATATATATATATATATATATATATATATATATATATATATATAATTCGCAAATTGAGATACATATAAAGTTGTTTATTAGCTTATCTTATGTTAAAAAAATATTTAAATTAGTTTATTCGGTATCAATACATAACAACTAAGTTTTTTTAGAGTTTGAAAAATTTTGTTTATGCATATAAAATGACCACAAAAAACATTACATTTTTACTTTTTTTTAATAACAAATTACTTTTTATCATTTATAGTTATACTTCTCACAAAAGAATAATATTAATAATATACAACTCTCATGATTATTTTGTAAAATTTCTTAAAAAATATTAAGATCTTGGATGAACCCCTTCATATGTATGGTATTAATTGTAGCTCTATTAATATACTTAGTCATGGTTGTCAAATCAGTTACGGTATCATTTTTGGAACTACTGTAAGTCATCGTTCCTCCTTTTAGTAAGAATATAAATCATGAGTTGGTGACTTTGAACATGAATCGTCCTATTAGTTTGGAAGTACACATTATGTACATCGTTACACCAATCTCCTTCATACTTGCCAAGGATCAAAGTTAATCTCAAAAGTTTGAGAATGCTCTTGGTTGTCATCTAATGGTCTTTGTCATGATTATCATGATATCGATTCACCATAGTCAAGCAATACGACACGTTAGGGCTCATACTTAATATGATATACATGATCGATCCCATAGTTGAAACATATTGGATTAGAGTCATCATATACAACTTCTTAATGGAACTACGACATTGAGCTCATGTCATTCATAAACTCCATTTGGAATCGTTCACTGAATCCCTTCAAGATATCATGTACGTTCTTTGGCTTAACTTATTTAGGGGTCTAGATTAATATCTATAACTCTTGATACCCAAAATATATGCTTCCCATTCCATGTCTTTCATGAAATAATTCCCTAGCTAAAATTTTATACTTTTCCAAATAGGAACATCGTCTTTCATGAGGAGTATGTCTTCAACAACTCAACATACAAAATAAGGAACACTAGAGCACTCCTATTAGTCTAACATATACTTATGGTTCAACCTAGCTTTTAATGAAATCATTTACTTTGAGTTCTCATTAAAGCAAATATATCTAATGTAGGATGAATGTTTGAATCCATAAATGGACTTCTAAAGCTTATACATCTTTCTTAGGATATACAAAACCATTAGATGATGTCATGAACACATCCTCAATGAAACTTTCATCAAAGAAAGTAGTTTTTACATCCAATTGACAATCTACACCATAAATTTATGTGTAATCATTTTCCATAAATTAGATTTTATATATGTAACTTCCTTCCATATTGGTCACCTTTTGATGGCCTATTTGTATCCGACTATTTTATAGTCAAATGATTTATCAACCTAGTTTAATACTTGATTATCATACATGTATTGCATTTCGCTTTTATAGCCTCCTCTTAGTTAGCAAACTTATGATCTACCATGCATCTTTAATACATATTAGACTCAAAATGATGTAAACATAGACTCATCATTATCGTATATGAGTAAATCATATAATTTCTGGTGTATGAAGTACTCTATCTGACTGACAGATATGAGTTAGTTCTATGTCAAGTCACTTAGTAACTCTTTGCTGAGGTTCAACATGTTCTTTAACCCCTTGTTGAGAACTAGTACCAACATCAAATTCTTTATTGGTTGACCCTTAAACTCTTTAAATATATATTTGGCTCATACTTTCCTTTTTGGATATCGACTCATTTTTAAGGAATACTTTAATTTAAGCAACAAAAGTCTTTTTTCTCATAAGATCTATTTTGATAATACTTGCCTTTTTTGGATATCAATTTTGGTTTCTTTCCAGCTTCACAATAAACGTAAGCCTTATAATTAGACATTTAAATACGCAAGTGACAGAACATGTCCAATTCATATTTTGGAGAATATTTTTAAACCTTCTTTGGTGATACAAGGTTTAAGACTTTTATTAGTTTCCAAGGCATATCTTCCA